TTGAGGAAAGTGATTGGTAGTGCACGCAGAGGTATGCCAGAAAACAGAGGCTTCCTTTTTGTGTGTTTTCTTTAGTGTGTCTCATGCTGACAAAGACCTGTGCGATTTTCACAATTGACCAAAAATTACACTTACGTACGACTGTACAAGTGGGGAGCTTTGCTTTTCAAGTATGCAGGGGCACGACTGGTTTTTTTAAAAAAAGGAAATGGGCAGGTTACCTCTCCTTTGAAACCAAATGCGTCCCTTATAAGTCAGTCAAACTGTAAAGCGAGTATGTAACATGGGAAGCTGCAAGAAAATTTGCCACTAATTTCATCCGAATGGTTCGGCTTAAAAATTGTTTAAAACGGCTGTTTCAAACAACCCACAAGGAGTTACTTGGGACGCGATTTAGGTAACTCGAGCTAGAAAATGCTAAATGTTTGACGGCGAACTGTCTAATGGTTCATTTAACATATTAACTGCAATTTTTGGGTGTTGGCAGCGATGCTGCAGATAGTTGGTAAAGCGACCAACTCTCTTTTCATCAGTTAGCCGGAAATGGCCATTCCTCGGCGTGAAGCAGCGCACCCAACTGTGCTGATGATCAGCAGAATAAAATGCCTATTTTTGGAGTCCCTTCCTGTCCACACCACTTACACAGACGTCAGTGTCTTTAATAAAAACGAGTGTTGGCATGCTCACAAATAACAACAACACTTACCCAAGCAATCTGAAAGATGAAAGAAAGAATCAGCATTAGAGTTGACACATACGATACATTCACAGTTGAGGGGCCAAAATTACTGTTAATCATTTAGACAGACGCTTTGATGGGACGAGGACCTTAGAATGACCTTTTGTGAGCTTTTTACTGGTGGAACACCGAATGAGGTGGTTCTAGCAGTCCTGGAACGAGTACGTGACAAAAATATCCAAAGTACCACTCCTCACCAGGAGTTTGTTTTCGCCTAATTTCCGCGTAAAAGCAAATTCCTTTATAGGAGCCGGTCGTCAAATTAGGACAAGAAGACCAAGGTGACAGTAAAGAGGTGGTGAAGGCTACAAAGGAGGCAAACCCCACGAACCAAACCTGCTCTTCAAAGCGTTTTTATTACTAGCACTTATCCACACTTCTCTCAGTTCGCTACAATGTTCCTTCGAAATTTAGTCAAAGGAAATTGTACCTGTTTAATTTCTTCAATGAAAAGCGTGATTACCCAGGCAAGGACAATGTACTCCACGCCAGTTATTCTAACTTTGAAGTCAACCAAAAGGAGGTAGCTGAAGAGGACGAGAAAGAGGACGTAGGAAATCTGCAAGAGTGAAGGGAAAAGGAAGGCCTCCTTAGCTAACGTCCCTGCATTAGCAGTTGGGAGGACAGATTTTGCGAACTAGCAGTCTCACCGTGTGGTAGACAAATCGCACGATCGGTGACATGTAGAAGTCCTTTATCTTCGCCCAAAACTCCATCGCTCCCACTTGCAGGCTTGTCGTCAGGCTGCAGTAAGCAAGGCATTTAACTTCACGCTGTGCACACAGTGCATTTTTTTCCTTATCGCCACTTTTTCGCCATTATTATGATGGCAGAAGTTAATTGTCGTATGAATAATTAAGCATTGACAACTGTCAGCTGCTGTCAGTGCACAATGGTGAGTGGACTTAATGTGTGGGGAAAATATCAAACCACTAAACGAGAAATCCGACTGAAGGCCTGGCTGAAAAGGCGGGATTGAAGATACGATGTTTGTTGAGTGGTCACATTCAACGCTAATTTGGCCGAAAATAGGCAAATGTTTAGCAAAGCTCCACTTGAATCCTAAAATCGCTGCCCTACTAAATGCAAATTACTTTGAATGCTCGAACAAGCAAAGATGATCCCTTCAAGAAGTTATTACAATTCGGATTAAGCATACCTCCTCTTCATCATTACTCGAGATTCAACATCCTCACTCAACTCCTCGTCTTTTTGCTCTGTACTATCATTCGATTCCTAAAACATTGGGAGGTTGATTAGAAACCTGTTATTAGGCTCGAAAGCAACTTTAAAGAGAACAACAATGAGGGGCAATGGAAGGATTTCGGAGACTCACCTCTCCAGCCTCGCTTTGTCTATCCTCAGGTTCATAAAGGAGTACTTTGGGAATGAATAGCGGCATGGTGAGACCGAATATGAGGCCAAACATCATCTAGAAATCGCAGGAACAAGCATCTCTTCATTCACTCATTCAATGGCAGCATTTTCAAATCCTGTCACCTTTAAAATGTAACAAGTAGCTTCACTTGCGGCTGGTGTATGGCTGATTTCATCTAAGTAATTACACATTCTCGATGTGTGTCTGTGCCTCGAAGTCGTGCAGACAATCATTACACAAATTGAGCCTTCAAATTACTGTTCCAAAGTTTCCCTATACCCCCAGCTTTGATAGGAACACGACGAGTAAAAAGGGTCCACATTCATTTTCAACTGAAAATCTCATTTCATTTGGTCGGTGACTCTTCATTATTGGAATGCTGGGCGCCTGCGGCAGTGAGAACTTCAATGGACAATTGGAATGGTCTTAAAGAATTGGAACATACATTGCCCGGGATTGTCCCCTCTACTACCTCTTTACTTCATTATGATTTGTCCAAGTGATTATGTTCCCTACGTTGCACAAAAAGACGACATTTGTGAATTTTTGTCTCCCACTTCAGAGCTTTAAGTACATCCTTCATGTGCCCCTTCAACTTCAAATCTTCCATGTAGGTAACAAATCCTAAAGCTAAACATATCCGCGGCGGTAGAGGTGGGCAGGAGGTTTATAAACGCACCCTAAACATGCTGTTCTTGGAGGAGAGATTGCCTTTCCAGGTGTTGGTTAAAAAGTCCTGACAACAGGGATGAGCCATGAACTTGATGCTTTGTCCCTCAGCAGCCAGTTTGATGACAGAACTGTGGCCGTAGTAGGCCAGTTCGTGGTTGATTATCAACTG